ATATATGAAAGATATTTATATATCTTCTATGAACATGTCACTTTTATGCTAAAAAATAAAAATATATACACATCTCTCATATATATGTAAATAAATCAACTTTTGAATAATATATATAGTTCACATGCCAATTTTTCTGCTTTTTTTCATAATAGGATGTTAATAAAATGGAGTAATTTTTAATTAAGAAATGTAAAGTGATAACGGTCCATATGTTGAGTGCCATTTTTGAAATTCAACTAGGGGGATAGTGCCAAGTTTGGCCCAACCTATCCAAATCCAAAGAACCCAGCTACTGTTGTAGTATATGACTAGAGGATTTGACCAACCCACAATGCAGATGGGTTGGGTAGACATGCATTGTAAATCCATGAGCACAATATGAATCCTCATATCCACAAACTCGAAAAGAAAATCTTCAGACTCAAGAAAGGCACATGATTCTTCAACTTGTGCCTGTGGAAAGTGCCTTCTCCTCCCTTTCATACTTGTATAGATAGACCATTTACATCATCTGAGCCTGATGGATGGATTAAATATATGGTGACAATTAATTTATGGATCCACACTTTAGTACTGAGGATGAGGATAATGTAATGGTCTTTCCAAGCTTATCACATTTAATTCCCTTTTATGCCATAAGATAGCAGATTAGATTTAGGGGTCTCTTTTTCCCGAGCAAAAAGTCACTATCCATCAGCATGTTCACATCACATGTTCTTATTATATCTATTAATTTTTTAGATTTTATTCTTATGCCGGAAAAAGAAATGACTACATAAATGTAAGAAATTAGCAAATGGATTAGCTTTTGTCTCTTTGTTAACCAGCGTTCTTACGATATGTAGCATTAAATAATTTTTTTTATAAAAGAATGTACAATTATTTTAACCATGTTAACGAGTAATGCACTAAAATGGTAACACGACCTTAAATTTAAATCATAATATCCTCAAAAGAAAGTTTTTGAATGTTACTATCATAGAAATTTGAATTGTGTGTATATGTATCATCTTCCATTTAGGCTTTATTTACTAGCATCTTAGATATGATTTACTTTAATAAAGTAATTACGATATGATCAGAAGAAAAGAAGAGGTAAGAGTCAAAAGGGTTGGGCAGATGTGTATAATGGGCCGAAAGAGGGGACACAAGCAAGACGAGACCCTGTCAAGGAGACAACAAAGGCTTACGTAATAACATTTCATGACAAAGCAGCTCTCAATGTTGTAGGCTTGATAGGCAATTCGGCATGCATGACAACACCCTTCTCATTCAGCTTCTAAATTGTTAATTATTTATGGCTAATTAAGAAGACAAAATAAATTTGTGTTTTGCTGAATTGAACAGCCGCAAATGTGTGTCAAACTTGCGGCTATTGGATAATGCCAAAAGTCACATTTTCATCACGGCTTTTGTTTGTTAGTTTGGTTATTATTTTATTTTATTTTATTTTTTGGGTTTTGTTTTTCTTTTTTTACGGCGAAATGAGTTGTTAGTTATCAGATTAATATAAATAAAAAAAAACCTGGCTTGGTTGACAAAAATAGGAGACTGGTAGTCCTTTAGGACTATGAATACCCCCACATGGTGGGATTAGCTTTCCCATTGGAGGGATGAGCTTGGTAATCAAATCTCATGGGATTAGGTGTGAAAAGACAATTTTGCCCTTACATTACAAAAACAACAAAACTAATTATTATACAATGAGGGTGCTTATGTAATTTTATAGATTTAATCCAAACAAATTAATACCACCACACTAGTACACACGGCTTGTAACAATCCCGACCTGTGATTAGCTGATTAACCATGATTATGTCAAATAAGTAAATAAGATGAAATCCTGACTTAATTGCATGTGTTATGTGCTATATGAGTTTCTATCTGTTTATCGTAGGAATATCTATTTCTGTTTCTGTTTTGTGCTGCAAATTGAAGGCCTTATTGACATCCAATCACGAAATTGACTTCGTATATGTGTTAGTTGGAATTTTTAGAACATTGTGGTAAGTTGAATTGAAATTCAATTCGGAACCAAATAATTGGAATAAATTAATTCCGATTAGTTGTCTTTACCCCCAACTAAATAAGTATCATTAAGTAAGCCTATATAAGACTAATTGGACCACATTAGATCATTTTTGCACCATCAATTCATACTCCTAAAGCTCCAAATGTGAGGGAGAGTGAGAGCTTAGGGAGAGAGAATGAATTCAAGAAGAAGAGAGGGAGAATGTTGCTAGCGACCTAGAAGAGATTGACTTGGAAGCTCAAAGATATAACAAACTAGAACTCAATTGTCAACCTTAGGTGAATAATTGGTTCCTAATCCTTGTATGGAAGTTGTTAATGCAAAGAATTCAAAAGGATTAAGTTGAATTAAGCAAGTCTTGAGCTAATAAGTTGGTAGGAAGACCATATCATGCATGCATGCTTATTCCATCACAATTTGAGGTTGTTTTCACAGAATTCCCCATTTGTATGTCCATGTTTTGACCTTCTTCTAAGAATTCATCATGTTCTTGAGTTGAACATCTCATTTGATCTTGTTTTGAAGCCTTTGAAGTTAAGAATTACTTGCATATTAAGTTCATGTAATGGTTTAACATTCCAAGTTTGATTTCATACAATTGATATGCATTCGAGCCATAATTTTTGCGAAATTGTTTTGAATTCATGATGTTTTTCAAGTTTACATATGTTTTCTTAAGTTTTGGGCTCAAAATGATGTGAATTGTAACTTTGAAGTTGAGTTTTGGACTTAGGAGGGCAATCTGGAAATTCCAGAATTTGACCTCTCCGCTCGAGCGACAGAATTTGCATTCGAGCGACCACCCTTGTTTTCGCACTTCTGCTCAAGCGACCAAAAGTTGGTTCAAGCGTAAATTGCTTGCTCTCAGAAGTTTCACATTTTTGCAGACCGCTCGAGCGAGGACCTGAGTCTCATGCTCGAGCGACCCTCGAGCGTCCGTTGAGCGTGAAAATCACACAACCAGTACTTTTGCAAAGTTTATGGACCGCTCGAGTGACCGAAGTTGCGGTTGAGCGACAACTTATATTTGAACCTCCGCTCGAGCAAAGGAAGTTGCGCTCGAGTAGGGACCCTATTTTCAGCAAATTCGCCTAAGTGTTGAACAACATAATTGGACATCCTCATTTCATCTTAGGCATTCATAGGCCATGATTAAGACATAATAGTGAGGGTAAAACATAGAAACACACTAAGAATGAAACGTAATGAGTTAAGTATGTTCTAAATGTATGTTTCAAATGTGTACTTGTTATGTATTTGTGAAGGTCATGCGCCGTAGGCTATCCGGTTGTTTGTTCTGTCTATCTACTTGGGAGTTATCTGTGAGTAATAACTTTTTAAAGCTATGCTCAATTATAAGTATTTTCTGAATGATATAAGATGATTTATTTTCTGAAATATTATTTTCTGCATGAATGAATGGTTGTCCAATATTTCTGAAATGTCTTTGTGGCATTCTTAACTCCGGATGACATCTGTTATCTGTTCTGTTATGTCCCAATTATGGGCCAATTGTATGTCTCATGAGCCAACTGTTATGGATCCTTCTTTATACGTCCTATTTATGGGCCAACTGTACGTCTCATGAGCCAACTGTACCGTCTCCGTGTATGTGAGTCAACTGTATGCCTTTATGGCCGTCCTTTTATGAGTCAACTGTATGTCTTTATGGCGGTCCCTTTATGGGTCAACTGTTTTTGCTAGTGTTAATGAATGTACCACATATGACTGGCTGCCAATTCTGATTATGAATATGATTCTAAATCTGTATCTGTTATGAACTAAGATTTTTGCACATGATTATCACTCCATTTCTGCTAATTACTAAATTCTATTTTCTGTAACATTATGGACAGCATTCAACAAAACATTTACCTTGTTATTATTCACCGGGCTTCCGCTTACTGTATTATTTATGTATGTAGGTGAGCAGGCGCGTAGCCAGGCTCAATGATGATCGCCTGGAATTTCGTTTTGTCAACCACTCTTTGTGCCTCTTGAAGAGGTTCTGAATTAAGTCAAGTGAAAGGGGTCATGTTTTGTGAACCATGTTTAACTATTTTGTTTTGTGTTTTTGAGACTCTCTTACAACTTCTGTCTATCTGTATCTTGGGCTAAGTCCTACCTTCGTTTTATTTGTATTTGTGGGCGACGCGAGACTATTGTATTATGACGTCACATGTATGCATACATATATAAGTCTTACATTTTCTATCCCATGCATGTCTACACAGTTCTATGGACGTTGTATTTTGTTCAGTTGCTTCAACAAGACCCCTAATTATCTGCTATTCTATATAGAGGCCTTTGGTAATCCAAGGATTGCTGGCCGGTTATTACGCTAAACCTGTCGGGGCGGGTTTGGGTCGTGACAGAGTGGTATTAGAGCATGTGTTTTACCGCACACACGAGTCCATATGAGCTATAGGATGTCCTAGAAAGGAATTAAGGACATTTCATTTGCGTGAGTGAGCGTGTGATCATCTTTATAAATGTGGAAACTGAATTTGAACCTGAACAAATGAAATTGAAAGAAATGAACAAGATTATTCCTATGTTTTTTATTACCTTGTCTCTCTATAGCATCATGGAAAATGCAAGATGTAATGATGCAAGTGAATCCTCGGAGGCTCGCATGAGTCGTATGGAATAAATGCTTGTAGCCTTGACAGAAGCAGTGATGTAACAACAGAGGCAACAACCTTTGCCCCCACCGCCTCCACTAGCACAAAATGAGCTAGACAAGAATGATACAATCAACTTGACTCAGAAATTCATGAAAATGAAACCGCCAACTTTCCTGGGAGGTATTGAACCATTAAAGATTGAAACATGGTTGTTGGAAATGGAGAAATTATTTGAAATGTTTCCCTATTCTAAGACTCGGAAGGTTCTCTTGGCCACCTATACTTTAAAAGATGAAGCCCGCCGATGATGGTTGTTAATCCGAACGAACAATGGGAGCATGACATGGGCTCAATTCAATGAGATCTTCTATGACAAGTATTTTCCCCAGTGTTTTCGAGATCGGAAAGTTTTAGAATCTCAGGAACTCAACCAAGGCAACATGTCCGTAGCCGAATATGAGGCTAAATTCACTGAATTGGCTCTCTTTGCTCCTCACATGGTAGATATGGACTACAAGAAAGCCCGAAAATTTGAAGAAGGATTGCACTTAGATGTATTTGATCGGGTAGGTGTCTTGGAGCTGCCTACATATGTAGACGTACTTGACAGAGCTCGCATGGCTGAAGCCAATCTAGCTGCAAAGAAACATACTAAAGCTCCAACAACTGAACGGAGAGGTAAAAGATCTGGATTCAGTTTTAAGAAGGACCGTTCATTTGTTATGAATAAGAAACAAAATATGGGATCTTCTAGTAGCTCAAGTCAAAGCAGTAGGTCTGCACCTGTTTGTACTTAATATGAGAGGAGACATAGAGGAGTTTGCTATCAGATATCGAGTGCTTGTTTTCGGTGTAGAAAGACAGGTTACATGATAAGAGATTGTCCAATCGGGTCAGAAAATGCCAACCGTCCTATAGCAAGTTTAGCAGGATCTGCTTCTGGATCAAGAACAAATGTTAGAACTAATACAGGAAGAGAACCCTTGAGACAGGGTAGAGTTTTTGCACTTGTGCCTGGCGACGTACAAAATACCGAATTAGTGGTGTCAGGTATAATTTCTATCTGTGCCCAGAATGCCTATGTGTTGATAGATTCTGGTTCCACGCATTCTTTTGTATCATATGCTTTTTCTCAGAAATTAACTAGACCATTAGAACCTATGAACTATTTATTATCTGTGTCTGAGCCATCTGGAGGTTCTATAATATGTGCTTATGTCTATCCGACATGTGATATTATGGTTGGTAATATGACATTATATGCTGATTTGTTGCCCCCGAGCATTGATCGTGTTGATTGTATTCTAGCAACGGATTGGCTGGTGAAATATTGTGCTATCATTGGTTGTGTGAGTAAATCTGTTGTGTTTAGACCAACTAGTATGCCTGAGTTTGTTTTTATTGGAAATGGGGTAGTTTCTCCGGCATACTTGATTTCATGTATGAAAGCCACGAAATTATTAAGAAAAAGGTTGTCGGGGCTACTTGTGTTATGTGTTGACTGCATCTTCGTATAGTGCTAATGTGGAAACAATTCTTGTAGTCTGTTGAAGACACCCTATTTTTGACCGACCTTAAGCCTCAGACGTCATTGTTTGTGCACTCGTTGATTGTGCATGCTTGTGCTCGTTTTCAGTGCCCGAAGGTCTCGGCCGAGCGCCTTGTCTTTGAGCCTCTAAACTCTCTGTGTTTTGGCCTTATTTTTGGGCCAAACCTTGGTGCCCCTTGCCTGAAGGGAAGAAAGGCCTTGTCGGCCACTTTTGGCCCTTGTCGGCTACTTGCGTCCCTTGTCGGCCACCTTGGGTGGCCGGTCGGCTAGAGGAGGTGGCCAGTCGACTAGGGGAGGTGGCTGGTCGGCCACCTAGAGTGGCCGACGGCCATTTTTCTCCTTTTCCAGATATTTTATGTGCCAGTTGTGCCAGTTGTTGGTCACTGAAGCCATTCTCCATACACATGGAGGGATGGAAACAAGCTTTATGCTTGTATTTCTATATAAGAGGAGTTCCCTCCCCCATTTTGAGGGTTCAGAAATTTGAGAAGCAAAATTTCCCCTCTTTCTCTCTTTAGAACTCTCTCTCTCTCTCTCTCTCTCTCTTCCTATTTTAGGCTTGAAAGTGAGTTTTCTTCACAGATTTGCAAACAACCCCGTAACCAAATACCTTCATTTGGAGCTATGGTCCTTGGAGGTCCTATTTGAAGTCAAAAGCTTGGTTTTAGCTCAAAAATATTGCTGTGTTGTTGCTGTGCTTCAAGGGTAAGGATTTACCCCTTTTAAGCTTATTTTTGTGCATTGGTTTGGCCACATTTGCATGCTGTTTTTGGCCAAGTTGTCAACTACAAAACCCTCTATTTTTAAGTGTTAAAAATGATAGTTTGAGGCCCTTTTGGAGTTAGGGGTGGTCCACCCTCTTTTATTGCTTATTTGCTAAGAGTTGTGCCATCTTTTAAAGCTTTTCAAACAACCTCTTTTTGGCCTTTTAATCACTGAAATCCAGGGGATTTTCAGGGCAAAAACTTGGTTTTGAGGTCCTAAATAGGAGGGGGTGGTCCCCCCTCCCCATGTCTTGTTCGCATGTGTAGATGGCCTAGTGTTTGAGAATGCTTTTCTCTATTTTTGTAGCCTAGTTCAAGCATGTTTTTGGCCTTATTTTTACATGTTATAACTTTGTTTTTGGCTGGTTGGAGCACCTCTTGTTTGCTTCTTACACTTGTAGTGCAATCTTGCTCACTAGCCTTGTGTGCTTGATGATTTACCCTATCATTTTAGCTTGTGTTAACTCTATTTCAGCATGTTTTTGCTAATGTTTTAGCATGCTTTAACTCTGTTTTGGTTGGTCTTTGTCACATGTGCTCCGCTTTGTATAGCTCTAGTGTAAATGGCCTTTACTAGCCTTGTGTTTTAAGGCTTTTAGCATGCTTTATTTGAGTTATTTGCATGATATGGCATCATTTAGCATGTGATTTCAGAGCATATTCCTCCGTCAAGCCCTCACATACAACACTCTTTAGATGCTTTTTAGAGTTATGCCTTATACCTTGCTTGAAAGCCAACATGTGCGCGATCTTCTACTCTTTTGTGCCTTAATTTCAATATGCTTAGGCCACTGATTTGGCATGTTTTAGGTCTGTCCATAGCTAGTTTGATCATTTGAGCTCGATATTGCATGCTTCTAGTGTAATACTCTTCACTAGCTTTGATGCCTTTAACTTTGGAACATGTTGTGCATATGTTGATTACATGATTTAGTGTCTTGAGCATGCCATTTCAGCACTGAATATCTGTCACCTCTCTCATTTCTTCACTTTTCCTTTCATTTTGAGGGTTTGTTGGCCTTAAGATTGTGTTTAAGCATGAGTTAGAGTTTGTGCTCAAATGGCTTTAACTCTCTTTTGAGGGTTCCTCCTAGTCAAAGGCATGATCTCTCTCATGTTTTAAACCCTTCTTTGGTTGACCCCTCTCCATTAGAGGAGAATCACTTGGACTTAACTGGTTAATGAATTGCTTGGTAATGTAAAATGTGTAAACAAGAAATGGACCAAGTAAAACACAAACAAGATAAGCATGGGTGTTGCATTGCATGTGTTTGGATCGGACGTTAATCCAAACACGAGAAATGTGAGACGTTTAATACTCAAACTAATTAAACGTGTCACATTTCTTGGTTGCCAACACCCTTGATCATGCATGATAGGGTGGATGCTCTTTGTGTATTGTTTGTGCATTCATTAAGCCTGTACAAGCTCGGTTTTCGGGCCATCATACATTGAGATGATTGGTTGGTGGCTAAAAAGCTGAGTGCCACTCTCATTTGAGCTTGAGACATGATGAGGAGAGTGGTGGTACACAGATTTCCTTGCAAATACATTGTCTTGGCTCTGTTGTTCTCTGTTGCAGCAAAAACAGCATTTTGGGAAAAGAGGTGGCCGACCATCCAGTAGCAGTAGCCGACCGGCCACATTCACTAGCCGACCAGGCAGTTGAAGTGGCTGGCAGTCACTTTTGGTGGCTGACCGGCCACTAGTCCATTTTTGGTGCAAAACTGTTTCTGTTTTGAGGCAAAGGCAGTTTGAAGTTGGTACAATGTTCAAAACACAGAGGCGAGTGCAAACAGAGATAACCGACGGCAAGGCAATCGATTTTCGGGATGACGCCAACTGAGTATGCATATCCCTCTCGCTCGCGAGGCCACTTTAGTTGCTTTAATTAGTTAGTTGTAGCTAATTATTTGACTCAAGTATTGTACTTAATTAGTTTGTGCAGCTAGTTATTCAATTTCAATTCGTTTTGTAATAATTAGCTGGAATAGCTAATTAGTTGGTTTGTAATAAGTAGCTTAGCTTAGCATAGCTAGTTAGCTTATTCATTCGGACCCTCCTTCGCGAGGTCAAAATGTTGTAATAAGTGCGCGTACGTGTGTGCATGTCTTCCAACCCCACTTCTTTCTCCCTTTTACTTAACCACTTTCAATGGTTAGTTTAGGGGCATATTTTGATTAGCATACCTTATGCTTGCATGTTTGCATCATTCATTTGTCTTGCATGCACCGGGGCTCGGCGCATCATTCAAACTGCGTCGTATCTCAATACTTCTTTGAATACATGTATCAAGTGTTGCATTCATATGTCATCTTAGGTAGCCGAGCCTATTAGTTTCATTTTGCATGTGTTGCATTAGGCATCTTGTATAGTTGGGATCATGCATATTTTTAACTAGCTTTTGTTTTGGCTTGGAGTACACTGTAAGTCTTTACGCTTTAGCAAACTTGCATGAGTGTGAGTGTTGCGATGATAGCATACTTTCCATGAGGCTATTTGCTTAAGTGATTAACTACATGAATGCCTGTGGATGAAGGCTTTGTTGTTTGAATTGGGACAATCCATCAAATGTGAGTTTTAAGCCCACTTTGTGAAGTGGCAAAATCATGTTTCAAGCCCATCATATTTGATGGAAAATTCACGTTTTAGCCCACTTGAGGGTGGCACTTTCAAACCATTTTCGAAAAACAAACATGAGTTGTTTTATTCCAATGCTTGCGATTTTAGTCTATACTTGTATGTTGTGCGCATCACATAGTAAGTTAGCTAATAACCAGAATAAGAACACATGTGTTTATAAAACAACATATCATGCTTAGTAGAGGCTGATCTTTGATCGGGCGAGCGGTGGTGCTCATTTCAGGACCTTCCCCTCTCGTACGCAAGTTCCCGAGCCAAGACAACTTTGGTGATGACGGACACGTGGCCTTTGGCACGAGTCAGGGTTTCCTAAATTTCCCAAAAAAAAAATATTTAGGTGGCGACTCTGTAATTTGGCAAAGCAGTCCATGTTTGGCGCTTTTTGATTCAAATCAAATTTCCAAAACGATTTGCCGAATTTGGACTCTTTGGTGTTTATCAGTCTCACATTGCATTTTGTGAGATTAGATTCAGAACCGTGACAAGAGTCCGAACTATAGTAGGACCAATTCGCGCCTCTCCGAAAGGGGGGCGCACGAAGAAAGTCGAGTCTATAGTTTCTAGTGATTCTGCTGGAGATTTAGAGAACTTGACTCAAACTCATGATATGTTGTTTTATTCACACTTATGTGTTTCTTTGCATTGCATTTGCATAGGTGTGCCTAAGTCACAGTGTTTGCCGTTTGCTATTCCTGAACGATTTGTCGGAGGTTTGCTTGGAAAAGCGTGCCATAAGGCTAACCGGTTGCGAGCTCTGCCACGATGGGAACACAAACCTTGGATCTAGATCACCACTGTACCGTTTGATCCACCTTTCACTTCTTAGTGTTAGGTACGAGAGGTATATTAGGTGGTCTTGCTGAGGCACCCTTTTTGACCATTTGACATAGTTGCATATCGGAAGCCATAGAGACTGTTCCAAACTAGGACAGGTTGCTTACCCAAATGCAGGATTGTTTGAAACCGCATGCATGCGTTGTGAAACCCTAGTTCCTGACAAAATAGGACAGGGAAACCCTACCCCACCATAGGGGTGTTTTGGCTCTCACTTGCTTGATATGTGCTGTTAGGGTGTGTCTCTATAGGAATGTATGTATCAGTTGCAAGTATGAGTATTAGTGTAAGGGCATCAGTGTTTGAGGGTATTAGTTTTGAGGCAGAAATTTGGGGGCAGAAACCAGTGTTTGAGTACAGATTGTCCAGCTTATGATTATCAACTGTGTGTTGTCTCTATCTAAGCCGAGGTGTTGTGCGTTTGCTGATTGTTGTTTCCTTTTTGCTTTATTTTCTTTTTGCAAGGTAGTGTTTCATAATTCTTTCTGACGAGGCAGATCCCCCCTGAGCACTCTGGACCAGAGGTAGGAGGCTTTCCAGATTTGAGGATCTTATTGACAGATAGCCAGTGTTTGCTTCATTACCCCCGGTTCCAAGACGGAGGGCAGTCAGGCATAGAGTATCAATACAGCAGTCGCTAGTTCAGCGGTCATTGTCTACCCCACCTATGCACAGTAGGATTAGTTTTCTGTTTCTACCTCAGAGAGAGAATATACACCTGTTCAGA